GGCGGGGCTGCGGGCGGCTCGAGGGGCAGCAGAGCCCAGCCCCGCCATCCGCTGCGCGGATTGATGCGTCCAGCAGGGGTGGCTGGGGGGTGCGGACCCCTCGTGGTCAGGCGGGAAGGCTCAGAGTGGGGGAGTTTATGGCAGCTACAGACGCGATGCTCCAGGCGTTCAGGACAGCTGAAGGCGCAGTTAGCGGACCCCTGGACTAAAGTGAGCCAGGGGCCGATGGAGTCATACTCTGAATTTGCGAATAGACTCTTAAAGGCCATCCAAGGATCGGAACTTCCGAAGTCTGCCCAGGGTCCAGTTATCATGGACTGCCTGCGACAGCAGCGTCAGCCAGAGATTAGAGATCTTTTACGGATTGCGCCTCAATTAAGCACACCGGGGGAGATGATTAAATATATTTCGGATAAACAGAAGGAGGCATCTCTGGCTAATGAAGGGCTAGCGGCGGCTGTTGTCGCGGCGATTGGGGCGCGACAGCCTCAGGGACCGTGTTACGGATTGGCTAAATAGGCGCCATTAAGGTAAATGGCCGGAATATGCGCGGAATGCAGGGGCCGCGGGGACCGGCAAAGGGACCGGCGGTGCCGGTATGTTGGAACTGCGGTGGGCGCGGACATAACGCTCGTCGATGCCCAAGTAAGGGTGTGAGTAAGGGAGAGGGGCAGCAGCAGGGAAACGGGAGTGGGAGGGTCGCCCAGGGCCCCCCCCCCTCCATCCCGCTGGTTGGGCCGACCCCGCCCCTCAACGTTGTCTGGCACAATCGATCGGCACCTCCTGGAATCCTATGAACATCTTGGAGGAGAGTGCGGAGGGTTCTGAACCCTTTAGTGCAGAAACCTACTGGTTTCCACAGTTTTGCTAGATGGTTCATCCCATCTTTGGGGGTGAGTGAGTTAGAAAAAGCGATTGTTAACATTTCAGCCACTTTGGAAATAATAGAAAATGCCACCGTTGATGCAATCAGGACATTACAGGGAGAAATTTCAATGCTTAGCAGGTGGTGTTACAGAATAGGATGGCATTGGACCTCTTAATGGCCAAGGAAGGAGGAGTCTGTGTGGTAATAAATCAAAGCTGCTGTGCCTATGTCGATAAGACTCAGAGGGCAGAAACATACATGCAATATGGGAATGGACTAAATTACTCCATCAAATGTCCATGGATGATACTTCATTTGGATTCCGGGACTTATGGGAGAAGCTCACGAGTTGGTTACCTAACTTCACATGGCTGAAGCAACTCTTTATTGTTTGTGTCATTATAATAATCGTACTTATATTAATGTGCGTCACTATGCAGTGTATGTTGTGCCTATGTATGGATTCTGGGAGGAGCTATGGAAAATGGAGAAAACAGGAGTTATGGCAGCAACTCAGGTGCTTATAGTTGCCTTGTTTGTAGTCATACGTGAAAGTTTGGCATAGGCTAAAGCAAGTAGCTTAGTTCAGAAGACCCAACATAGCTTACCATCCCCTCCATGTCCTAGGCTAACAATCTTGGTGGGTGTTGGTTGGGAAATGGCGGTTGCGTTGTAATGGGGCGAGGCTTTACCGAGCATGGGGAGGAAGAAATGTTGTAGTAGGTGCTAACAAGGACTTGGGATGTGACGTGGTAGGACCTCCCCTGTTCTGTGGTCGACACATGACGTATGCTTAAAGGGGGCATAGACGAAGCCAGAGGTGTACTTAAGGAGTCGTCGCGCTATAATAAATGCCATCTGCTGCATCCCCATGTTGGTGTCTGTGCTGCAATGGCCCTAGCGAGGGCAGATCGCTAGCCCCCAGCAGAACGTGCCTCGGTTGTGGGGACAACAGGGTGCCATCAGTAGTCTACCAGACACGTAAACAAGGGTTAAATAAAATCAATTTAATGCCATTTTTACTACTTTGTCCGCATCAAGAGATTTCTTTGTATCTTTTAATGGTACCAAGGAAGCCATTTCTTCATAGAATCACTCAGGTTGGAAAAGACCTTAAAGATCATTGAGTCCAACCACAACCTAACTATACTACCCTAACTCTAACAACTCTCTGCTAAATCATGTCCCTGAGCACCACATCCAAACGGTTTTTAAACACATCCAGGGATGGTGACTCAACCACCTCCCTGGGGAGCCTATTGCAGTGCTTAACAACCCCTTCTGTAAAGAAGCGTTTCCTGATATCCAACCTAAACTTAAACTGGTGCAACTTGAGGCCATTTCCCCTCAGCCTGTCACCAGTGAGAAAAGACCAACCCTGCTCTTGCTGCAACCACCTTTCAGGTATTTGAAGAGAGCAATAAGGTCTCCCCTCAACCTCCTCTTCCCCAGACTAAACAATCCCAGTTCCTTCAGTTTCTCCTCATAGGCCATATTCTCCAAGCCCTTCACAAGCCTTGTTGCCCTTCTTTGGACCTTCCTCTCCAGCACCTCCGTGTCCTTTCTGTACTGAGGTGCTGTCATGGAGTTAACTAGATCAATCTGTGACAGGGGGCAGTAGGCCCCTGCCTCCCCACTCCCCCCCGGCACCACAGAATGGGAAGGAAGGAAGGAAGGAAGGAAGGAAGGGAGAAAAAAAAACAGCGGCAACAATCTATGGAGGAAAACTTATTTTACTAACTATGATAGCGGAATGCAAGATAACACAATATAATACAATCTAATCGAAATTGAGACTAATAAATAAGATAGAAGAGAGAGAGTTCCTGAGACCGAGTCAAACCTGAAAAGCTTGGAACGGCTAAGAAAGCACCCTCCAGCACCCACTGCCAGGCAATAAGAGACTGCCCCACCTGGAAGGGTCAGATCCCGTGACTTCCATAACGTATAGGGATAGGTACCTGGAATCGGAGCATTAACACTTGAATTCGAGTACACTACATGATGTTTTGATGCAGAATACTGAAAACCAAAAAACATAAAACCATGACATTCCACCCCTTATTCTACTTCACTACATCATGCTTTATATATATATATTCATGTATACAAACAAACAAAAATGATTAAAATGCATTACACACAGATGTCTATATACGTATACATAGAATTACTGTCTGCACTCCCCCAGCATCAAGTTTCCTTGTGGTACACATTGAACATCCCTGTTTTTCCACATTACCCACCAAGTGGACCCTGGTCCCTGGGCAAAATCTGTATCACGGAGAGGTTTGCCCTTTCCAGAAGCTGGAAGAACCCAAACTGCTCTTCCCAACATGCTCTTTACATGTACTACAGGGACTTTATCTCCCTCTACGGTATGTAGGGAGCTGGATTGGGTAGGACCATCACGATTGATAGATCCTCTGGTATTGACTAACCAGATGGCTTCTCCCAAATGCTTCTCCCAGTGCTTAAATGTTCCGCCACCCATTGCTTTCAGCATAGTTTTTAACAACCCACTCTATTGTTCAATTTTACCAGAGGCTGGTGCATGGTAGGGAATATGGTAAATCCACTCAATGCCATGATTTTTGGCCCAAGTATTTACAAGAGAATTTTTGAAATGAGTCCCATTATCTGACTCAATTCTTTCTGGGGTTCCATGTTGCCACAGGACTTGTTTCTCAAGACCCAATATGGTATTTTGGGCGGTAGCATGGGGTACTGCATATGTTTCAAGCCACCCAGTGGTTGCCTCCACCATGGTAAGCACATAATATTTACCACTGCGAGATCGTGGCAAGGTGATAGAATCAACCTGCCATGCCTCCCCATATTTATACTTTTGCCATCGCCCCTCCTCCCAGAGTGGTTTCATCCTCTTGGCTTGTTTGATTATGGCACATGTTTCACAGTCATGAATAACCTGTGCATAAGCATCCATAGTTAAATCCACCCCTCAGTCTCTAGCCCACTTATATGTTACATCTTCCCCTTGATGGCCCAAGCTCTCGTGACAGGTGCCTGAAACCGAACACAGTACTCAAGGTGAGGCCTCACCAATGCGGAGTACAGGGCAGGATGACTTCCCCAGTCCTGCTCACCACTCCATTCCTGACACAAGCCAGGATGCCATTGGCCTTCTTGGCCACCAGGGCACACTAGTGGCTCATATTCAGTTGCCTGTCTATCTGTACACCAAGGTCTCTTTCCGTCAGGCAGCTTTCCAGCCACTCCTACCCAAGCCTGTAGGGTTGCCGGGGGTTGCTGTGACCAAAATGCAGGGCCCAACACTTGGCCCTACAGAAATTCATACAGTTAACCTTAGCCCATCAATCCAGCCTATCCAGGAGCCTCTGTAGTGCCTTTCTCCCCTCAGGCAGATCAACACTCCCTCCAAGCTTGGTGTCGTCTGCAAATTTACTGTGCCCTGCCCATGTCCTGGTTGAGCTGATTCAGTGCCAATCTCACACCGCTGTGTGGCTGTGTCAGTGATGGCACAGGACAGGAGGCAGCTGCAGGACGGGCTGGCTGGGCAGCATGCGGCCTGCAGGTGGGCATGCCTGGAATAGAGAACTAAGAACTGCCATATGAAAGCAGGTGGAAGTCAAAGTGATGTCTTATTTCATCTCATTAACCAACTCATCGCTCCATGGCAGAGTTGGTCACCAGTGTACAAGTTAGGAACACTTGCTGCTGTGGTGAAGCTGCTTGACCCAATTCACTGTCTTGTTGCACTCTTCACTGTCCAGCTCTTTTTCACAAAAAAACCAGCAGTTTCATTACTCAGCAGTGCCAGGTTTCTCACAGCCAGGAGCAGCGGTATGCTTTCCAAAGGAGTAATGGAACACTTCCCACACTGAAAAGAAGAAAAAGCAAGAAAGCCAGAAAATACCAAAAAAAGAATCAAATAGCAGCAGAGCAAAGCTGTTGAGACTGTCTGTGCTAAGCTGCAGGAAGTCAAAACCCTTACCAGTGTGTGTGGTCACCATGAGATGGTAGGCCAGCCTCTGAATGTTGAAGCATGTATGGAGAGGTTTTTTGGCATGGCGGAAGTCCCTGTGGTTGGAGAAGAAAAAAAAAAAAACAGAAAAAAAACTTTTTGTTCTTTAGATCTGAACGCCACAGGGGCACGGGGCTGCCTTGGTGGGTGTCACACCACAGACCTCCTGCCTTGCACACAGTGGCTTCTGCAGAGAAATAACAAAGAACAATTGCAGAGAACAACAGAGCTGAAGTACCCAGATATGTATCAGCAATGCATGGGCTCGGAGATGAAGAGTGCAGGTGGAGAGATGCTGTAAAACATTCCCAGGTCTTCTTTAGTCTGCAAAAAGAACTGAATTCTACATAAAATAAAATATCTGCCATGGATTTGCAGTCCATGTTCATGACTTTGTATACTGCAGGTCTGGACACGATGAGAGTGGCCCAAATGTCTGAGAGACAGCAATCTGCAGCAACTGATCTGACTTCAAGAAGGAACATTGTCAGTCTGAATCGCAGCTGAAGACAGTGCAGCAAAATCCCAGAAGCAACATTAAAAACAATGCTAAAACAATAAACAAGCCCAAGATTTGGGTCACAGCTGAAGTTCTTCGGAAATCTTTTCTCATGCTATTCCACCTCAGAGGCGGAACAATGGCTCTTCACAGAAGAGGGTCCTGATGACATCACATCCTCTCCTATAAGTTACGCTGCCTCCAAAGTTCAGTGAGAAAGATCAGCCGCGCTCCGCTGCACCGCCCCGAGGACGATGGCCGGCTCTCCTGCACTGCTCCTCCTGCTCAGCCTGGGGCTCTGTGAGTATGGAAGCCAGAAGGATGGAATTCAGGGCCACTCAGTGACTGCAGGGGGAAGCGGGAGTGGAGGGACTGCAGCACAATGAGCAGCAGGAACAGAGCCTGTTCAGACAGGTGTTGCTGGAGGGGATGGGGAAGGGGAGAGAGGGAGCATGTAGCAGCTGTTAGCGTGGGATCACCTGGCAAAGAAACTGGAAATGGTGGCATCCATGAGCAGGCAGCTGAAGGGCTGCTGTGAAGGGCAGCATCCATCTCGAGAGC